ATGCATAATATTTGGATATTCTCGGAATCTTAATTGGATTGTGAGTAGCATTAGGTAGGTAGGTACAGTAAACGCCAAATCTAAAGAACCAGCGCAAATTCTCAAATTCGTTTACGTAAAAATCGCCACGCCCCTTCACAATTTGAACCTTGTCCTTGCTTACGGTCAGTAGCGTAACGACTAGATCATTATTTGTTTCTTGTTTCTGTGTTTTGGTTAACGTGGCTGGTTTTATTTCTGATGTCTTCTATTGTGGGTGAAAAAAAGCGCAGATCTGTTATTAACGGACAAAGTCGTGAAGTAATATACAATGTTTTTAAATATTTTGACGCAACAACAAAGGAAGGAGTTACTTTAGATGATATCAAACTTCAAACTGCACAAGCAATAGGTAAACATATTCTGTAGTGTATTTGCAATTAAACTTGCGAACTGTTCTATATTTTTTTGTATTTTACACACATATCTATGCATTTTGTTTTTGACTAATATTTTATATTTAATTTTTTAAATTTATCTTGTTTCTAAAGATTTTTGTTGCCTAATAAATATAAAAAATACTAAATTTAACATTTATACAATATTACGTTTTTACAGGTGTTTCTTATACTACCGTTAAAAGAATTTTGAAGGAAGGTAAACAGTCAATGGAAACAACTGGAAAAAAGACATTTTCCACACCTAGGAAAAACTTCGTCAAAAAATCAACCGCTACGAATCTCCCTGAATATCAATTGAGGGACATTCGAAGAATAATTTACGATTTTCATATAACAGAAAAGTCTCGTGTTACTGTTAAAAGGTTAAATAATAAAATTAAGGAAGATTTAGATATCCACATATCAGAAACTTCATTAAGAATAGTCCTTAAAAAATTACAATTTAAATGGAGAAAAACACAAAATAATCGTAAAGTTTTGGTGGAAAAAATGAAAATAAGAACTTTAAGAGTAAAATATTTGAGACAGATAAATTATTTTAGAAGTCAAAATAGACCAATCGTTTATTTAGATGAAACATATATACACAGCGGACATACCTACTTTTTCCAAGAATTGGACAGACGATTCAACAAAAGGTTTGTTTTCTGTTATTTCTAAAGGCCAAAGGCTTATTATAGTTCACGGTTTTATCAAAAATAGTTAGAAAAGTTAATACTGTAACCTACCGCACCCAGGTACCTTAATAATTTATTAATTCCATTTATTAAATACAATATTACATTCTTTTAAATTTAAAATGCTTCATTTAACGAAAAATCTCCCAGATAATTAAATCTTATTTACGACACCTAATAAATAATAGCTATAATCACGTCCGTAAAAGATCCAAGTTTCTGAACGTGTCTGGGAACACAGACCATATTTCTTTTCACGAAGTAATTATCATTAAAATACTTAACTCGCTTATTTTTCTAGTTTCGATGTTAAGACCGATATCGACAATATTTCGATACACAAAGCTTTCAAGGCAAGTAATAAATAAGCCACCCCCTGCACCCACCGCATTTCTATGAGAACTAAAGACATAGACACGTCACAAAGCCATTAAAACTTTTATTATAAAAAGCCAAACAAAAATGAGCTCATATTCATTCATTTTTAATTATTTGATGTGCATGCATTCATTTATTATTTGTATCCAGTTATATTTCAAGTTCAGTAATTAGTACCTTTCCTATAACGCTCTTCCTAAACGACGTCTATCCTACAATTGTAGGTAGCAGGAAATCAGAATTTCAGTAATAATTATAATTTTATTTTAAATTATAAAAAACGTTATAATATGAAAAATGTTGTGACAAAGATACGTCTTGTTAATCTTCTTCGAAATCAGTAATCAATCAATCTTTTTGTTTCCTTTTTCCATGGTTACCATCCATCGGATAAGTAGGGTGCTAGTTTATGCAGCTATCGACCAAGATCATAATATATGTGATATTATAATGGTACCATCTGACATTGACACTTGACCAACCTCAAATAAAAACTGACTAAGAAACCTTAAAATAAATTGACGTAAAAGTCAAAACTAAAGGTAAGACTATGTGGTGCTATGATGTCGCCACATAATACCTCCTATCCTCGAAGGTGTCAACGTCTCGACGCCCAACGTCCTGCCGTCCTACTCCCTACGTCTCGAACGCTGTCACATTCCTCACCATATAAGTATTTCCTACCGTACACTCATTTCGACTCTCAACGTCCCACGCCTTATTTCCGACGCTTGCCGTCCCTAAATATTTCCTTCATAATATCACGTCCCGCACCACCTACATAATTCTACCGTAAGTCTGTCCCAATACAATACCATATTAAATACCTTCCTTTCCACCACGACGCTAGGCGTCTCGACGATGGGCGCCTCGACGCCCAACCCTGCGACGTACCTACATCGACGCCGTCACAACGATAGATGAAATTAGTACATAATCTAATGTCTGTATTTTCAATGGCGAGTCAAAAGATTTATATACCTTTCTTTGAGGTATCACCCGGGTTTCGTTTAAGGGCAGGCTTGACATTTGCTGTAAAATATTATCAATAAACCACATGGCCTTCGGGTCATACACCCCGAAAGACAAGATAGACATCTGTGTTCGATGGGTGAAATTTTGAGTATTTTAATAGAAATTATAAAAATCAATATTAAGAAATATACAGGGTTATATCAAGTTATTTCAATAGAAATTATAATAATCAATATTAAAACATATATAGGGTTGTATTAAGTTAACTTAATAGAAATTATAAAAATCAATATTTTAGAAATATACAGGGATGTGTTATCTTGGATAAATTGTACAAACCAAGATTGTAAAATTTTAGTAGTAAGTTAACCAACTGGCGAATACGCTGTTCGTTAGCTCAAGGGGGGACACCTATACGCTAAGCAACCCGTTCTACAAGGTTTGAAACAAAGTATATGTGAAATCAACATAGTAAGGTAATCAACTGGCGAATTGGCGCTGTTTGTTACTTCCGTTGGTCATCACCTCTATACTCATCGTAATATTTACCTAAGAGGGTGCAACCTGTATATATCTACAATAGAATCAAATCAACATCAACTCAATAGTTAACCAACTGGCGAATTGGCGCTGTTCGTTAACTCTGTTGGTCATCAACCTAAATCAGCATATAAACAACAACACTATAGTTAATCAACTGGCGAATTGGCGCTGTTTATTACTTCCGGTGTTCATCACCTCTATACTCATCGTAATATTTACCTAAGAGGGTGCAACCTGTATATATCTACAATAGAATCAAATCAACATCAACTAAATAGTTAATCAACGGGCGAATTGGCGTTGTTCGTTAACTCCGTTGGTCATCAACCTAAATAAGAGTATAAACATAAACACAGTAGTTAATCAACTGGCGAATTTGACGCTGTTCGTTAACTCCGTTGGTTATCAACCTAAATAAAATATGTATTGATAGCAAATGAATATGGTCTGCGTTTGAACGGGACTCAAGTGAGATCTCAGTAAATAGTACCAATTGTAATATGCTTTGCTAATTGTTGCATCAGATTTAAGTATGACAAATATAAAAGAGTTTAAATATGAATTTATATGTTTTATTTATCAATTTGCACCAAACTTTGCATCGAATTCTGGTTTACCTTAATTAACATTATCACAACGTGGGTATACAAATTATCAATAAATTTACTAGACGATCACTTTTACTACTAGAGGAAAAAGGGCCAATTACAGTAAGTATAGAATTTAAAGTAAAACTTGTGAGGTAAATAAATAAAAACACATTTGAGAGTAAAATAACGAATAAATCTAAAAGAAAAGGGGACCTGGGGGGTGGCCGTCACAATACCTAATCTTTCACCTAATTCAGTAAATGTTTGTGATAGTTATCACAATGTACAGACAAATCGAGCACCTAATTCCAATTCTTTGAAGAATGATATGATCGAATGGTTGACAAAATACAACATACCTTTTAATCCAACAAGTTTGAAACCAGAGTTCTATGAACTGATTAAATCTCATAAGGACCGACATGTAACATATGCATTTGATGAGTTGTGTCGAGAAACGGCCACACCGCTTTACGGTTACCCCCATATCACCCCGACTTGAACCCTATCCAAGTGTTTTGGGCAACTGTTAAGAATAATGTCAGTCAAAGGAATGTTACCTTTAAATTAGAAGACGTAAAACAATTAGCAGAAGAGGAATTTAACAAAATCGGTGTGGAGGAATGGAAGAAGCGATGCGATCATGTTATAAAGGTAGAAGATAAATGTTTTGAAAGAGAAATACAAACTGATTTATGTTCGGAAATTAATCCTATCGTCATTAATCCTAATGAGGATTCCAGTGACGACAGTGACGAGTCTTCTTCCAACGAAGAATCTGACGAATACATATAAACATTATTTATTTGTGATTTACTGATTATGTTGTTTGTATTTACTTATAGGCTATAAAAATAAACGTTTTTGTTTTTCTTAAATTTACGTAAAATCAGAAATTATTTGGACTATCCAGTTTTGAAATGAAGACCCGGTATAAAAAATCGGAAGGATATAATATTACTTCATACACACACACATATTATTTCATATTTTGCTTATAAAAAAATTAATGTCAGTCAAAATACAAAATACTAGACCACCAGAGCTCTCCTTAACCTAAAGTCGGCTTACCTAAAAATAATGATTTTTTAATTGACCAAAGAATTATGTACTAATAATAACACTAAGCAATATGTATGAACAAGCATCATTCACTATTTTCCATTTATTTTATGTCTTAAAATATACGCGCCCCTGGTTTACAACTTTCTAGGTAAGCTACCAATTCTATTCATCGGTAGGCGTGTTCTTAGCATTATAAATGCGTGTCCTTGGTTTTTTAGATTTGGCGTTTACTGTAGTCATACTGTAGGTAGGTGCGACAAGCAATTTTTTAAAAATGGTTCAGTTTTGTAGAAGAGCTCTTCAGTTATTCTAGCGTTTATTTAAATACTTACAGCAATTCCAGTTGTAGTTAAAGTAAAAAAAGGAGGATCTGGACTCAATGTTACTTTTAGTTCATCTGCAGAATTATTTAGTCTGTTTAGAAGTTCTACCAAAATGTTTGCATTTATAACCAATTTGTTAGTGTTACATTCATCTGCTAAACTTATATCATTAAAATCATCCACATTCAAGGTTCGAATCTCACCATCTATGGTGATATTCTCTTCATTATGATTCATGCTAAAATAGTATTTGTTTTACATTTACTAAAGACAAAAGTAGGAAAAAATACAGTTTATAGTGAATCCACATTTCAACAAAAAAAAGTTTTTCGTAAGTAAACAAGCTTTTCAAACACAAAAGTGAAAAAAAATCCCGGCGGTCTCATGAAAAAAGAAAGAAAAGTAATTTAGCTAACCTGTGCGGCAGGACACGGGTTGTTTCGCAGAAAAATTATACATAAAATGAGAAAAATTATAATAATATTTATTTCAAAGTAGGATAGGTACAACGATACAAGCTGATATACAAAAAATAGTATATATTACATTACGAGTGTGGAAAGTGACATTTTTCACACGAGTAGGAAATATTGTCGCAGGAGGCACAAGCCGAGTGCGACTATCACACGGGTGTGGAAAATCATTTTTCACACAAGTGATGTACAATATTTTTTTCTACGACCACAAAATAATTTCATCAAAAAATGTAAAACCAGGTTATTATAATAATTAAAATGCATTTAAAAAAATAATCAACAATAATCGTATTTATTCACTTTTCATATTTTCTAAAGTTGATAAAGTTTGATACTCTAACCATCTGAGCTAATAGGCCTTGCGTCAATTAAATGATCTAATCGGTTGTGTTTAACCAGAATAAAAAGCAAACATAACTTAGTTATTTTAAAATTATTTTAATAATAATTGTTGAAGATAAATATCTAGGATCTAATTTTCAATTTCAATAATTTAACAATCATATCGATTTTAGTATTAATATGGACATTACATAGATCAAAATAGAAATGCGTTTGACATTTTGTGATAGCTTATGCAGAAAGTAGCATATTCGTACACGGGTGGAAAGTAAATTCTTATTCATACGCATGTGATATAGGACACTTTCCATAGGACTATATAGTGTGATATGTGTCACTTTCCTAAGTGGTCGTAGGAAAAATAATTTATACAATAATCGAGAAAATAATCAAATTCTTACAAAAAAATCTATAAAATAATTAAATTTACGAGTAAAATAGATGCTATGAAGAGAAAGAAAATACAAAAAACAATATAAACTATAAGATATAATTGAAATTAACCAGTTTAATAATTAAGCTTAATAACAATATAACCTACATTTTTTTCAAATAAATAATCCGTTAAATGAGTTTTAAATTGATTTATTTAGAGTATTAGAACCCTTTACATAACTTGGCAAATTGTTATAATCAATTGTTGGCGGCCTGTGATCTTTTCAGAAAGACAGACTACCATTTAGGTGAGGTGGCCGACACTAACGTACTAGTGCGCCGCTGGAGACCACCCAGAACTTCGCTGGGGCCTCCATTAATTACTCGTGGGACGAAACATAAATAAAAACTCACTCTTCCTCTATGCGTATTTATTCACGCTTAAACGATGGTGCCATGCAGGCAAAACAAATGGGTTACATATTATAATGGCAAATTGCCGAAGAACTATAAACACTTAACTTAAACTATATTTTTAACAAACCTGGTTCTATGAGACAAAACAATTTATATATTTTTTACATCTTGTCGATGGAGAGTCTGCAGACTAACTGGTCGTCTCTTTACAAAAACTTAGAGCCCACTTCCGTGATGTGGAAATGGTTAAGCTTACGTCATGTATTTTATTTCTGATTGGTTACCCATTTATTAATTTTATTTCGTGAGGCGTGGCTTCGCTAGTGAGATTGTTAGAGGTGTGACTTTATTTTTATGTGTAAAGGTGGTGTTATGTATGAGATAAATGAGATAATTGTTGTGTTGTCGCATGCTGCGTGAGTGTTCAAATGTAATTTGAACATCAATAAAGCCCTTAAAAGTTAATGTTTTTGTGTCGAATGCCTTAATTTGACTGTGGATCCAAGGGTCCCAGGTTCGAATCCCACCGTTGGCCAGGATTTTTTTATTTAATTTAATTATTTAAAATTAATTCTGATGCCTTGGTATGATTCCCCACTCGACCATTCACTGTTGGGTTCTAATTAACAGTGCTGTTCCTAAAGTGGCGCTGGGAAACAGTAACAAAGCCTACACAGAACACGAGGCTAATAATCTTGGTAGTTGATGCCGATGACACCAAATAAAAAAAAACCTTCAGAACTCCTAAACACAAAACTAAACTTTGCAACAGAGGTGAAGTACTTAGGTGTCACCTTTGACAGCAAGTTAACATGGAACTCACATTTAGAAAACAGAGTCAAAAGAGCGTACATTGCTTATGAACAATGCCACCGAACCGTGGGGCGTACCTGGTGTTTCTCCCCCAGAGTCGTCGCATGGACTTACACTGCTATCATAAGACCTATGCTAACATATGGTGCAGTTGTCCCGAAAATTGACAGCTATCTGTAAACTAGAACAAATTCAAAGAACAGCATGTCATGTCTCAACATAACAGGAGCCATGAAAACAACACATTCTTAGTCTCACTCCCCTTGATACTTACATCAAGAAGGTTGCTCTGACAATGACACGCTTCCGCACGGTTGGAATAGAACCTGATGTAGGATCTAGTGAGGTGAGACGTGACTTTTGGTAGGAGGCGCTTGATACGCTCCCACTAATTCAAGCGAATATGGACTTCATCTCACTGAGATATATCTTTCATAAGCCATATAAAGTTGTAACAGAACAATCCGGAAATGACAGGTACGATTTATATCTACACCGACGGTTCTAAAATAAAACGAGGCTCAGGATGTGGAATATACTCCAGATCTTTAAACCTTGACATAAAATGGGCTGTGAGCAATAGTGCGAGTGTAGTTCAAACAGAGCTCACGGGGATTCTCATAGCAGCAAAAGAAATCACCAGAAACAATATCACTGGAAGGAACATGCTTATCTATACAGATAGCAGACAAGCACTACTCACCCTGAACAGACCACTAATTTATTCAGGGTTAGTACTAGAATGTCACGAAGTTTTGGCCGAAGTATCCATCAACAACATGGTCACCTTAAGATGGATCAAGGTCATGGCAAGTCTTTCTGTTGCAAAAAATAATTTTTCTACACCCGTATTATAATAATGCACTTATATGCCCATAATCCGTTTCATAATGATACCCATTATGATACAGATTTTTCATTACGATACAGATTTTTAATCAATAGAAACCTACAATTTTTCAATCAAGCATGCTGTTTGACGTTTGTCCTAGGTTCCTATGTAATTATTTTAGTTGTCAAAACGTATTAAATTTTCGTAGGTAGCTAAACTTCGATAATTATAATATTAAAATGTCTGATATTAGCGATATAGAAGACTCCTCCACACATATCGGAGAAAGCAGAAAATACAGTACAAAATATTTTACCGCAAAAATCTAGGGAAATACCAATACCTGAAGTAATACCATTAATTACAATTTTGTAGAATTTTTTATAGAAATACGAGTAATTACTGTTATTGTGTTCAATACCAATATAAATATAATATTTATAGGTCTTGATTATTTATCGGGTGTAGAAAAAATAGCGTATGCAACTCTCATGTAATGGTTATTAAAACACTCGCATAAACCATACGAAACTCGCCTTTGGCTCGTTTCGTATCCCGGTTAATGCTCGTGTATTAATAACCATCATTACATGATCGTTGCATAATATACTATATTAGATGCATGATAGGAGCCTATCCTTCAGAACATTGTCAGCAACATTTTATCAAGTCATCAATATTAACTCTTCCATGCTTGTTTATTTATCTATCGGTGTTATATATTAAAAAAATATATTTCACATCAAACAACTAATAATATGATACACCCCTATCCTACTTGAAGAGGTGGCGAACTTCGTACACCCTTCTCAAGATTAACAGTAGGTCAAAACTCTCCGTATTATCAAGGAGCCATCTTGTTTAACCATTCTGTTAGAATTTTAGGCAATATAGAAAACTTTAAAAATACAAATTTATGTTGTTTCAGTTTCTTGCAGGTAAGGCCTTTTACTCTGTTGATGAACTTTTAGCCTATTAATTTTATAACTTAAAATATATTTTACCTAATGTTCATTTTAAATGTCTTTTGTGTTAATTTTCTGTATATTATATATTATCTTAGCTCTAGAATTTTAAACTTGTATGAATTCAACAGTGAGAATGGTGTTTTTGTTTTTTCTGTTTTTTGTATGGACGTAGTGTGTATGAGTTGACTAGTCTGATAAGTTTTTTTAAAATATTGTAAAAATGTAAAAAAAATACTTTATTGAGGAATAAATTCTTTTCTAGTCTAAGTATATCAGGGCTGGATGCGCCCGTGTTGTTTTTGTTTACCACTCGAATAAAGTCACTCACAGAGTAATAGAGTGATTTTCATTTGCATGTCAAAATAAGGACCAATCCTGATTGACATCTTATGGGCCAGATGCTATGAGGTCACTCACAGAGTGATATTTAATTGCATGTCAAAATAAGGACTGCTCACGATGCGCAACATCCTATCTTTAGGTGGGTATCATGATCATGACAGTATATCATGTCACTATAATAAAATTAACAAAATCGCTGTAAACTAGTACAAAAACGTCATATCACCTACATTGGCAAATAGGAAAGAACACAAGTCAAAAAGTGAACATTTTTAAAGTGATTAAATTCAATAAAATAAATGATCCCCAAGATTTTTTTAATATTTATCTTCAAAGACATACTTCCATATAAAATTAAAAAAATAGTAATGCATGGATTCACCATAAACTGTATTTTTACCCAAAAGTAAATATATTAAAATCCTTACACAATACTTAAGGGTGCTCCAACTGAATTATAAGATAATTTGATATTTGGATTTCCCTCATCTCCAAAGATATTTAGTATCTCAACCAGAGTTTTTAAGTTAATTTTAAATATGATATCTTGATTTGAATTTATATTATAATCAGTAAATACCGAACTAGGAATGTAAACTGAAGTTTCGATACATTTCATTTCATCTAAAGTTAATTTCAAACCTTCTTCCATAGGCCTTAAGATTACATGCTAAAACAAGAATAGTTAAAGGGTACCAGACTTTAAAAAAAGTAACTTACATCCTTAATAGCTATAGCTCTCAATACATTATGAATTATTCGAAAATCTGTTATTTCTGCAAAAAACAACATTAATTACAATTTACAAATAAACTTGTTTATGTTTACACAAAAAACTGTTGACTCGTGCACAGAACACTTGACTCATGATGTTAAACTGTTTACATTCTTCATAATAGGTTCAACGATCTAGTTTCCAGTTTCCATATCAAGAAGAGGCCAATCTTTGACAATAATTAAACTCTAGACCAATATATTAGAGGAAATAAACCCATATAAAAGAAGAAAGAATTACTTTTGATCTCCTTTTTTCTTTTTAAAAGAAAAGAGAAAAACAATAATTTGCGCTTGCGTACAAGTCTATTAAAAATTTAGAAATTTGTGAACCTTCTGCGCATTTCAAACAAACAAGCCGAAGGAAGCGGAGATGCGAAGAAAACCGCCGTAAACGTCAGTCAGCGATAGCCATCAAAATGGCTGCGACAGATAGTAAAGCTCCTCTTCGAACTGTTAAAAGAGTGCAATTTGGGATACTTAGCCCAGATGAAATTGTAAGTAATTTGGTCTTTAATACATAAATTAAAAGATGACATAATTTTGAAAACCAGAAATATAAGTTTAAAATGAAAAAAAGTTGTTTTTGTTTTATCTTCAGACAGCATACCTTACCGAGGCACCGAGCACAAACATTGTCTAATTGGCATATTAAATACATAGGTATTTATGCATTTCATAGAAATGCAGCGATATTAGTTTAAAAGATTACACGGTATGATGAAATTGTTAAATGAATTCTTTATACATCAGTAAATAAAATAAATAAATTTACACATGCGCAATAACTGAAATACGTTGAAAAGAACGGGAAATCCCTAATTGATACATTAAAAATAAACAGTACTTTTAATGAATAATACAGTGTTTTGAAATTCACACTCACATAACTAGCTATTCGATACATTTTCTAGTTATCTTTTTTATTTTTCATCCTAGAACATAATTAAAATAAATTGCCCCTATAAAAAATTAGTGATTCAAATCACAAAATGACAATTTGCAAACAAATTCAGCAGAATGGAATAAAACTGAATAAGTTTTTGTAAGAATAAAATTTTCCCGAATTGTGTGTGGCTCCATATCTAGGCATTTAATATTTTTTAGAAGCAGTTTTTTTGACCATATATTGATTTTCATTAATATATTTAGTAATAACTACAATAGTTTATACCTAATCAAAAGAACATTGTATGTATTTAAATCAACATTCATAAAACAAATCGTATATTCAGTTATATATATTTAAAATGTACTTTTATTCAAATGTGTCATAAAACGTTATTTTTCGGACAAAAAATGTAATCGAAAAGGATACTTCAAATGAACTACTGTAAAATACTTTTAAGGTCTAGGCTGTAAAAGTAAAGCAACTCTGCTATCTAAACATTTTTTTAACACATAACAGCAACTGTTCAATTGTTACCAAGAATATACCTAGGTATTCATATCGATCACAGTCATCAGTTATAAGAAAAATTGAAAATAATATCATTTTGGATTTAATTTTCTACATTTTTAAATATGTATTAGCACATTCAAATAAAAAATAATGTATGAAACAGACGAAACGTGTATTTTTGGACTCTTACGAGTCACCTGAAAAACTTACTTTTTGTCCTTATAACAACTACTATTTTAGCCATGTATTTTATGTTTCAAAAGATAGTACAAGGAGCAAATGTATTATGAACTAGTTTTTTGTTTTTAACAGAACTCCTTATATATTATTACAAATGTATAGAGCTCTTAATGACTAGTTCTAAGATATGCAACACTGGGTCAAATGTTTTGAACTGATTAAAAATTAGTGAATATGGATTTGTAGAATATTCACTAATAATATTAATAAGTAGTGAATTGTGCAACAGGCAGTTACTTGTTAAATTTTACTATAAAGTAATTAGTTATTTTGGACATTGTTACATACATATTAGGACATGTAATACTGAAAACCACTAAATACTGTTAGTCTCAATTATGGCATTTTTTTGGTCACGATGTAACCTTAATTTTGGAAATTGTGCAACGCAGTGTTACTTTTGTTCTATGTTGGACGTTAAAGGAAATACTTGGGCAGTACTATACTAACGTTTCCTTCCCTAATTCTTTGTTACTTGCAAAATATCAACAATAGAAAGGGTGAAGATGAACTGTTCAACATCCACCAAAAGGAAGTTTATACAGAATACTATAATAGAAGAAATATAATGATTATTATTACCAGCAGTAAAAAAAGAAGATGGTGGCACTAGTACTAACCCTAGTGACAATGAATGTAATTTGAATGAATAGATAGATAATCTACCAACTGTTTGAATAAGGTGGAAAACTACTTGGCTTTTTTTGATTTGTTTATGAATTTTTTACTTTTATTATGTTTATATATGTTCAGTTTTTTTATTAATGAAAAGTGTTATGTTATTTTCACTATTGCATGTCCTAATATGGGGCTTTAGGGATAACACCCATGTAATTCAAAATGAATCAAAACATCCTTTATTTTATAATTTTCTGGGTACCAACATTGCTATAATTTAAACTGTAACAGAATAAAGATTTTAAATGAGAATAAAGTTTAATATTTTGGAAAAGGTTGCAGTGATTGAAAAAATGTACATGGTATACTGCCATTATTTATTTATTTCACTTATACATTACAAAAAAATAAATAAAAGTATATAAAAAATTAAAAAGCTCAAATTGTATAACACATATACATGAGACATACAATATTGCACTAATAACGATAAGTAAATAGGTTTAGACATCTCCTAACTTTAGAGTACATTCGTATATTTTAAAAATATCACAATCAGGATAGAATTTATTATAGTTTTGGCAAAGCCGATCAATAAAAGCTCTGTCCATAGTTGGTTCAATGTCTTCTAACTTGAAATAGGGAATTGTGTCATATCTACCTGGTAGGTAAAGGAAGTTAATTTGTTTTAAGAGGGAATGTCGAGAGACATCCTGTTCAGAAACGAAAAGGAATAGAAGAAGAGTTGTATGGTAAAAACAAAATAAAAATGTATTTTCATGTGAAGAAAGTTTATTTAAAAAAATATCAAAAAATGGCCATTGCATTCTACTGAATGAATTTAATTTTATATTCATTCTAAAAAGAATATTGTATGGATATAAAATCCACCAAGTTCATATTTGGTGATTGGGATATTATTTGTTTAAATTTTAAATAAGTGAAAATTTTGCCAAACTAATTATCACTATATTTTTTAGTTATTGAGAGAGAATAAATGTAATTAAAAATTTGTGATTCTTGCGAAGAATCGATAAATAAATTAAAGAAAAAAGTTTATTGCCTCGTTAGTGCAGAGAGAGTAGTGAGTTTTCATGCGAAAGCCCTGGGTTCAAATCCAGGTTGAGGACTAATTAAAATATTTGTATAATAATTATTTTATCTCACCCTATAAATTAATTTTAAAATTTTGTAGGTTTTCATTCCTGGTTCCTAGAAAAAATATATGGCACAATCTGAGTTCCTACAGTGTTGTGCTCAAACTTTGTTTCATATACACTCTTGTTACGCTAATTACAATTTTGTTTTAAATTAAGTGTTCATTTTGTCAAACTTAGGGGTCTATTCTGTAATGCCTTAGTTAATTTTAACCGCCACGTTAAAAGGTTATTTATAACTATGACGTTTAAATTTTAACCCAACTCTCTATTCGATATTCCATCAATTTAATTTTGTGTTATTAGTTATTCTATAGCCAATCGCAGTTAAAATAGACATTAGCAATGACTAAAAGTGAATTGAAATTAAGCCCCAGCAGCTTTAAAAATAAGAAAAAGAATATATTTGACATATTATAATCATTACTAGATTTATTACTGACAAGTTATAATTTATAACCAAATAATACAGAATACAACATTAAACATAACATCGGTTATTGTTATAACCCAGGGTTAATTTTGACCGAATTTTTACAGAATAGACCCCTAATTGTCATATTTTTTTGTTAGGATAAAATAAATGAGTCATCCTTATAACGAATCAATAAATATGATAAATAGATAGTGATGAGTTTTCGTACTAGGCTCAAATTCGGTTGAACCCATGCAAATTCATTGTTAAAATCTAGAAATTCAAATGTGTGTTAATTTTTTTTCAATTTGGTGTCGTTGGCCTCAACTACTAAGGTTATTAGCCTCGTGTTATGGGTTATGTTACTGTTTCCCAGCGACACTTTAGGAACAGCACTGTTAATTAGAACCCAACAGTGAATGGCCAAGTGTGGAATCCTGTCTATAAATGAATTAGGATTAATTTTTTAATTAAGTAAATTAAATAAAAATCCTAGCACAGGCGAGATTCGAATCTGGGCCCTTTTTTTATTTCTTTTTAAAATAGTTATTTTGTTAATAACATCTACTTTTTAAAAGTTAGATTTTCTTTAGTGATTCCTAGAAATATACTATACAATACTACAATTCGAGCAGTTTGCTTGTATCCACTGAATATTTTATCGAATTTTTGTAGATCTTATGTTTTGAAAATAACATGAAACATGCTGTAACAAAGTCATTCTTCACAAAACTTACATTTTCCAATAAAAATGATGTACAAACAAATATGTAGTATTCTCTTATCAATCCCTTAATTATTCATTATTGTTTATGAAATTGTAGGTGTTCATTTTTAGAACCATTTACCCTTATTTTTGAAATAATATTTGCATTAGTTTTTGGATTAGAGAGATTGCATTTACAAGCCCTGTCAAAGATTATCAGGATGATAAATTTTAATTAATGTACTTGCATCCAGCTGTGTTAGTGTGCCTAATATAATTGTTATATTTAGGGATATGTAAAAAATAAAACATCACACAAATGCATTTTCCATTTGAGCCTCATATTAATGTTTTTATTTTCAAAATGGAAGTCTAAACATAGGTTTATTAATATATGTTTTTGGTATTTATAATAATGAATTTCTTTTAGCGACGAATGTCAGTTACAGAAGGGGGCATCCGCTTTCCAGAAACCATGGAAGCTGGTCGCCCCAAATTGTGTGGACTTATGGACCCACGACAGGGTGTCATAGACAGAAGTTCTAGGTGTCAGACTTGTGCTGGGAACATGACTGAGTGTCCAGGTCATTTTGGACACATAGATTTAGCAAAACCTGTTTTTCACGTAGGGTTTGTCACTAAAACCATCAAGATTTTGAGATGCGTTTGTTTCTTCTGCAGTAAATTATTAGTCAGTCCGGTAAGTAAAATATCTCTTATATAAAAAAATATATATTTATTTATTTATTTTTATTGAAGAACAATCCAAAAATTAAAGAAGTGGTCATGAAATCCAAAGGACAACCTCGAAAACGACTTACCTTTGTGTATGATCTATGCAAAGGTAAAAATATTTGTGAAGGTGGAGATGAGATGGATGTTGGTAAAGAAGGAGATGAAAATAAAAAAGCTGGACATGGTGGATGTGGTAGATTCCAGCCTAATATCAGGCGAGCGGGTTTGGATTTGACAGCTGAATGGAAACATGCCAATGAGGATACTCAAGAAAAGAAAATTGCTCTCTCAGCTGAGAGGGTTTGGGAAATTCTAAAACATATAACTGATGAAGAATGTTTTATTCTTGGTATGGATCCCAAATTTGCTAGGCCTGACTGGATGATTGTAACAGTAAGTTTTGAATATTTTTAAGATTTTCTTAATGTCATTGCTCGAAAATATTTTAGGTACTCCCTGTGCCACCTTTATGTGTGCGGCCAGCTGTAGTAATGTTTGGTTCAGCAAGAAATCAGGATGATTTGACTCACAAATTGGCCGATATTATTAAATCAAATAATGATTTACAGAAAAATGAAGCAGCTGGTGCAGCTGCTCATATTATCACAGAGAATATCAAAATGTTACAGTTCCATGTTGCCACATTAGTTGATAATGATATGCCTGGAATGCCAAGGTAAGTTTTTATTTATTAATATTAAATGATACCATGTTAATTTAGGAACTTTTAAGTTTCATTTAAGGAAACTGGTTCATAAACAATTTTTTTAGGGCCATGCAAAAATCTGGAAAACCCCTAAAAGCCATTAAAGCTAGACTGAAGGGTAAGGAAGGAAGAATTAGAGGAAATCTTATGGGTAAACGTGTTGATTTCTCTGCACGTACTGTCATTACACCTGATCCAAACTTGCGAATTGATCAAGTAGGAGTGCCTAGAAGCATTGCACAAAACATGACTTTTCCAGAAATTGTCACACCATTTAATTTTGACAAGTGAGTTTGGATATTTTATTTGGATGAATTAATTCAGATGCAAGAATTGTTTTTTTATTGTATATATTTGCCTTTTATTTTAGAATGCTCGAGTTAGTTCAAAGGGGCAATTCCCAATATCCTGGAGCTAAATATATTATTAGAGATAATGGTGAAAGAATAGATTTAAGATTCCATCCAAAACCATCAGATTTACATCTGCAATGTGGTTATAAGTAAGAGTGATTGTAGTTTTTAAATTCTTTGAAAAGGAGAAAAGCACTTCAATATTTGATTAATTTTTGTTATAATTTTTTAGAGTGGAAAGACACATCAGAGATGGTGACTTGGTAATTTTTAACCGTCAACCTACTCTCCACAAAATGAGTATGATGGGTCACAGGGTCAAAGTGCTTCCTTGGTCAACCTTCCGTATGAATCTCTCCTGTACCTCACCCTACAATGCTGATTTTGATGGTGATGAAATGAATTTACACGTTCCTCAAAGTATGGAAACTAGAGCGGAAGTAGAAAATATTCATATTACCCCCAGACAGATTATTACTCCCCAAGCTAATAAACCCGTCATGGGTATTGTACAGGACACATTGACAGCTGTCAGAAAAATGACCAAGAGAGATGTCTTCATTGAAAAGGAGCAGATGATGAACTTGTTGATGTTCTTACCTATTTGGGATGGTAAGTAAATAACATTAGGATTTGTCACCACAAAAACATAACTCTACCCAATTTCTGGTCAATACGTCAAATAACTAAACTATTGAAACAACAATGAATCAATACTTTCTATCTGATACTTTTACTCAATCGAATAGTTTTCTTTTGATTCTACTTAAAAGTCAGATATCGATACTTTTCATTCAATACTTTTCTTTTGATACTACTTACAAGTATCGAATATTTTTCATTTGATACCGTGTCCCTAGACTGGTTTCGTCCTTATTTGGATTCATCAGTATGAAATAGACATCTCGATTTTAGTCCTTATTGAAATCTGCAAAGACATCAAATTCCATCGCCTACAATGCTGCCCTGCTAAGCTGAAAATGGATATATTGAAAATCATTAAAAAAGAACTGGGTTCGGCCGGGATTCGTATCCAGGACTTTTGGATTTCCGTTCCAACGCGCTAACCACTATGCTACAGGACGCCCGAAAAGTCCTCAGCCTTTTTTTAAGACAGATAGGACTTCATACTTCGTAATTTTATTTGATACCTTTAAGTTTTACTCAAGTGAAACGTCCTATTGGTGTACTTTGGACAAAATTTAATTAGTTAATGGAGATTGGACAAACTTTTTTGATAATTGTTGTTTTTGGTAGATAAGATGAAACTGAATATAAGAGACAATTGTTTTATGTTGTATTTAGGATTTTTTTTCATAGGAAAGCAGTTGTAGATGCATCTCTGCATCACAAATATGCCTTTAACTCAAAAACGGAAATGTTGTCAGGTAGGTCGTTTCAGCTTAGCAGGACAGAATAAAAGAGGTCACTAGTGAATAAGTGGTTACACAGTGAAAATAACACCATCTGCACTTAGTAAGCAAAATCAGAGGTCACCTTAGTATCCAGTTTCAAAAACAAGGTGGGATAAAAAGTCAGGCAGGCAATTTTTTAATAAGAAAAACCACTCAAATGTGACAGATAAAATAAAATAACTTGTTTTTATTTTTCGGTGCTTCTGTTAAATTTTGATTTGTGTTGTACGAGATGGCTTTCTGGGGACCTTTTGAGGCAAATGTAGATGCTAATGAATTGCAGGTTAATGATGATATTCACATAAATAATGAAATTCCAAGGGGGTGGGTGGCTCAGTGGTAGAATCTCTGCCTGCGGATCCAGGGATCCCAGGTTCGAATCCCACCGTTGGCCTGGATTTTTTCATTTAATTAAATTTAAAATTAATTTTGATGCCTTGGTAGGATTCACCACTCGGCCATTTACTGTTGGGTTCTAATTAACAGTGCTGTTTCTAAAGTGGCGCTGGGAAACAGTAAAAAGGCTACACAACACGAAGCGAAATAACCAGAGCAGTTGAAGCTGATGACACACAAATAATAAAAAAAAATAATGAAATTCAGAATAATGATGAAGTACAATTAAATGCAGTACAAATTATTGATAAAATACGTATTAATAATGCAATTCATACTAATGACAATTAAGGTGAAACATAATCTTGGGAATTCAAAAACCAGGACTTACATATTCAAGTTCAACAGATAATTTTAAATGTTTGCTTGTCTTAAATCAGAAAATCCAAATATTTCACAAACAGATGCAGTTAAAAGAATATGTAAGTTAACAAGAATTCCCTTTTCCACAATTTATTTCGTTATTAAACGAGACGAGATTGAACACATTGAAAAAAAAAACGTGTCATCAGTCTTCGGATAGATAATGCATCGAAAGATATGATTCGACGAACAGTTTGCAACACGTATAAAGAAAACAAAGTTTTTTTTTTTACAAAATTACAAGATTTTTAAGATTTCAAATATAAATCATTAGAATCACTTCCAAAAATTTTAATAACTTGTCGTTTTAGATATAACAAATTAGATAGTCGAATGTGCATTATGGAATCGTGTCGAATTGTGGAATTATGTCAAATTTATTTAAGGGAGACTTTTAAATTTAGAAATAGCAATAGAAATATAGTTTATTTAGATGAAACATGGTTCGAGTCTCATGATGTCGTTCAACGTGGTTAGGCAGAGGTTCACAAAATTGTGTTTTAAATGCACCCTGCTCAAAGGGAAAACGAGTCATAATTTTACATGCCGGAAATGAAAATGGCTTTATACCAAACGCTTTGCTACTTTCAGCAAAAAAATATCAATAAAGGATTATCATGAAAATATGAATGCAGCAGTTTTTGAGAACTGTTTTGCTGAACAACTTTTACCGAATATTTCACCTAATTCAGTCATTGTAATGGTCAATGCGCTAATATCATCCCCGCCGTCAAATTAACAAGAGATATAATAAAGTATTTAAAAGATAATAACATTGATATTCCTGCTTCTGTAAAAACAAAACAATTGTTACAAATTGTTAAAAGTAAGAATATTCCAGTACAGTATTATCCCAGTATATCTACCAATCAGTATTGGTACTCTGAGGCGGCACGTTTGATCTTTAAAAGTAGAAATTTTAGTTGATACTTGACGTTTTCAGGATATGAAAAGTTTTCTTTACACGGATTTGGTATACCTGGTTAGTTGAATTTTTGTTTTTGTTCTGCTGCTTTTCAAATTCGTGTGTATGAGCGAGATGTGAGATACCTTTATAGACAACGGTTGAACAACTTAATTTGAAGAAGAAAATAGATTAGATATTCAGGACAGTCTTCGCAAATGTAAGAAGGACAGAACCGTTTTAAATTTTTTTTATATATGTGAAATATTACTTTTTGGTGAAAAGTTTAATTACTTTTAGTTCAAAATATAACATTAGTTTGTCAAGGGAAATATATAACACACAAGGTTAGAGTAACAAAATAGAGGTATTGCTTTATTTCTTAAGAATTACTCTAATCTAAAACTTTTCTAGTATATTGTAGAAATTTATTTAGGTACTGCAAAATCTATAGGAAAGTATGTAATTTTAAATTTAAAAATTTATAACGGAGACATATTTAGTGTAGTTTTTTTACAAATATATACTTAGTGACTTGTTTTTGTGAATGAGTTTCAAGTATGGCAGACTAAAATCGTTACTTTTTATTATGAATTAATTTGAATTTATTTAAAAATGGGAACTATATGTATATGGTTTTCGTAGTTTTTACACTTGTAATAAAAATATCAAAGTTATGTATATTGGCCATTTACTACACACAGCAAATTCATAGACACAATACATATCACTATTTGACATTCTTATTAAATTCACTAATTTAAAATTGACTTTAAACTAAGTGACTACACACAGGATTGTTTGAAAGCAGCCATAAGGTATAATTTATTTATTGGATACTATAAAAAAATTAATAGTAGTTACATGTAGAGTTAAGTAACAAGAAATTTAAAACCAAAAACAAAACAAACCTTTACATCTAGTGAACTTAATTTAGTAAAATCTTCAACTTTCTTAGGCTAACATTAAAGATATCTATTTTGATCTCGCTAAGAAACCCATTTGTAATAACCATCATCTTGTTAAAAGGAGATATACTACTTGGATCTAAACTAAATAATTTTTTGTTACTTGGGTTTCTTAGATTAATCTTTGCCATATTAAAATTTATATAGTCAATCAAATCACAATCTTTGTACTTAAAATTATTTAAAATAGAATACAAAATATATCACAGCCTGTTGCTTTATTCTTTGTAAAAGAGATTTTATCTTAAAACTATCAAGCATAGTTTTATATGAGTTCTTAGGTATAAGGGTAAGAGTATTTTTTATGACATAAAGGTAGCGTAAACATATTTTTTGTACTTTTTCAGTATGATCAATTTGTGTGGCTTCCAAGGGCATCCATATTTGTGAAACATATTCAAGATGGAGTCTTACTAAGACATTATATGATCTAATTTTGGTGGTAATCCTAAAATTTTTTGTATTTCTGATTTAAAAACCCAAAGCTTTTATTGCTTTTTTAGTTATGTGTAAGAAATGGTTATTGAACTTCAAATTAGACTGAAAGACAACTCCCAAATCCTTTACCTCATATTCACGATTTAATGTGACATCACAGGTCTTGTTTCTAATGTAAAAAATTAAGATCATCTTAAAATATGCATACTTTTGTAAGTGTTAAATAGACGGATAAAAAGTGTTGATTTTTTATTTACAACTATAATAAGAACCTATTAAAAAGATTAAGAGCAATAGAACATTTCAACAAATTTCTATTCGCGATTCAAATAAATTTTCGCGCGCCTGTCATTTGTCACGTATAAGTAGGATGTTTGTTTATTTACGTGTTGTGGGATTTTGTATTTGTGATTTTTTAACTGTTTTTAGATAATATTCTTATTATAATAGTGTTCTTGAGTTTCATTTAGTGTTAATTTAAGTTTAGTTTTCGTGCTTTCGTTATAAATGTAATATTTTTCATGTGTAGTATGAACTAATTTGTTGGAAATATTGACCTATTGGTTGCTACAAGAACATCTAGAAATATGTATTTACTAAACCCAGGACATGTTTTATTATGTGGTTTAAAGGACATATCAGGTACCAAACGTTTATTATTGATGAACTTCTTTAAAAATCTTACTATCCTTATTCTTATATCATGAAGTGAATTGTGTAGTACTTTGTATACATGTAAATGGTAATAAAACCGTCACAACTCATATTGGAGTTTGATTCTAAACAACGTTTTGCAAAATTTCAATATTGTGAATTTGTAGATACCCATTTATCGTAAGAAACAAAATTTTATGACTTGCACTTGAAAAATAATGAATACTTCAGTTTTGATTTTGACAATAACACCATATAGATTGCAATTTGCTGGAGGCTTTTTCGCAGATTTCAGTTTTAATTTAAATACTATCACATACTATAAGAAATAAACAAATTTAAAGCTAAAAAGTAACAAAAAACTCTAATTGTAATTGATACAAATTAAAATGTAAACAATGAACACGAACACCGATGTTGCCAAATGATGAACTGATATTGTCTCTGACTGATTTTAAAACTAAAATTAATAAATGAACTGAAATTTAAAAAAAAATCAATATAATAAATCGATTTTATAAAAAAATCCTTAAATAAAAGTATGATTACATATTACTAGACACAAATTTTGATTCTTAAATAAAAGGTCTTATCCATTTCTTCAAGAACTAAAATCCGACGACGTAACGAAATTTTGCTGCTTCTGGCAACACTGAACGTCATCCTATTTATAGGGACCTTCTACTAATTTCCTCCAGAGGGCGTATCACTTAGCTTGAATCGCGAATAGGTACACATATTTTTGATACCTGATAATAAACAATATATTTTTTGGAGTAGCAACAGGTTTATTAATACACAACTATTATATTGGTACAAATACTTATAATATTTATAATTAACATGATAGTTGACAAGTCCTTTAAAAATAATGTATTTTGATTTAATTGTTGAATTTATACATGAGCAATTTTCCTTGTAGCCTTGTTTACATTTTGCAGAGAAATATTGTATTCTGCTTTTAGCTGATAAATCATGTTCATGTAAATGGGTTGAATGTAGACAATGTTAATGTTTTTGCTACTACTGCTGGCTAGGAATGCTGGGCTGGGACACCACCAAAAAAAAAGGAAGCACAAAGCCCTAGATCAGTTTCTATCACTTATACCCTTACAATTTACAACCATTTAAGTAACTAGCATGTTGGAAATATTTCACAAAAACATATTAAACATAAATCAGTCGAAGGCAATGTATTTTCTTTTTAGCTTGATTACTTCTAGTACTCGTATTTCAATGTCCTCAAATAAAACGAGCAATAATACGTAACAATAAGGATAAAACACACACTGAAGTGTATTTGGGGTATTTTTACTCTAAATCCACTATCAAAATAACAAAATTGCCGTTTTTAAGCTGTGAATGTATTACAAAAACTACTTCGATAAAATGTAAACAAAAGTTTGTATTTGTGTACGAAATATGGGTTTCCTGCGCATGGTAGCGAGTTTTTAACCGGATTTATGACAATTTATGATAGATTATATCCCGAAATCGTCAGCGCAGTAAAAGCTGCGCGTCTTTTTCCCGCCCAGGGAGTGTCATAGGCCTGGTATTATGTTGATTGGTAATTTTGCAAAAGATGGTGTTCTTACTGTATTGAGGTTACCACCTTATTATTGTATACTTAATCCAATTGAATTAGTTTGGTTTTCAGTTAAACAAAAAATTTTGCACCTACTTCAACAAATGTGGTTTTGGAAAATATTAATATCGTTTTGAAAGACCCGTCTTTGACTGACGTTTGGAAAAACAGCGTTAGTCACGTCATTAAAAAGGAAAAAGAATAGCATGTTTTACCTTCTATAGCTCGTCTATTTACGTTTTATAACTTAATATTCAGATGTAGCAAGTTAACGAGCTAAAATAATGTTTTTTTTTTAAGTTTCAAGTAGGATTACAATTAAGTGCATCTGTCTAAATAACGACGTATAATGCTGTCCAATTTATAACGATTCGATTGCCTTTTAACGAATACTTTTTCGCATATAATATATTTTTAAAAGTATTTATAAAATGAGGTATCTACGCCTATGGCATATTAAACAAAATTGTCGGTAAGAGTTCGGAATGAGTTTTTATTTTCTGCAATTGATAAAATGGAAGAACTATGCCCAATCAATAATTTAATTTATTTAACTTTAATAATAAAAACGGTACGCCCACGTGCGCGGTCCCTTTGAAGTCGGCACTAGTCGGTTATTATAGGTCTGTTCCAACACGCGCGAAAACCGTAATATTACTGTACAAATCACGCACTGTATACAATTTTTGGGTAGAGCGCACGATTTGTACGGTAATATTACGGTTTTCGTGCGCGTTGGAACAAACCTTATGCCGTGTTGGATTGAGTCTAGAAAGACTATACATGTATTGATGATTATCCATATATTTGACCACACATTGCAATAAGTAAAATTTAAAGGGTTAGATCAGTAAAATTATTGATTTTTTTATCATTATTAAAAAAAAAAATTGTGGGTGTTAAACGGGCTTATATTTTGTGTCGCTGTTGGCTAAGTCTCATTTGTAATTTAAACCATCTCCTTTTATTTATCTAAGGTTGATAACGTATTTTGTTTAGGTAAAATGCCTCGCCCTGCAATCTTAAAACCAAAGCCCTTATGGACTGGAAAACAATTGTTCTCTCTTATCATTCCGGGAAACGTAAATATGATAAGAACACATTCAACTCATCCTGATGAAGAAGACGATGGTCCGTACAAGTGGATATCTCCAGGAGATACAAAAGTAATGGTAGAGCACGGCGAATTAGTTATGGGGATCTTATGCAAAAAAACACTAGGAACATCTGCAGGTAAGCCAATTTCAATAATTAATACAAATAACATTTTTAAAATATCTTTTATAATATTACGTCTATTATGATTCATTTTCTTTTAGGTTCTCTTCTTCACATTTGTATGTTGGAATTGGGACACGAAGTATGTGGAAGATTCTATGGTAACATCCAAACAGTAATCAACAACTGGTTGTTACTGGAAGGTACTTAAATTTTTCTGTAAAAAAAAACAGGTTTAAAAATTTTTAACAATTACATTTTTACAAAAATAATTAACTTTGTTTTGGTTCATAGTCAGTTTTTTTCTAAGATGTTCAGTTTTCTGGTTCATATTATTCCTGTCTTTTTTTTTTCACTAAAACATTTTTTGTAAATTGTAAAGAGTGGCCCACAAAAGTTGTTTCTAAAGCAAACCTTGGAAAAATTCACGTATGTCGAGCGTAGGTGTCAGTTAGGATTTAATTCAAAGCAGAACTTGGTTATTAAGAATATGACTCTTATCTAACTTTGGCCTACTCTAGAAACTTTTTTTGTGGATCACTATTTAGTTCTGACATTTAAATGTTTTTAATATACAATGTCATTATTAGTAGGATTTTTGAATCTAATTTTTATAATATTTTTTTAAGCCACAAAAATGTTACCCTTTAAAAATGTATTTGACATAAATGAACTTTTTTACTAGGTCACAGTATTGGTATTGGTGACACCATCGCCGATCCTCAGACATATACTGAAATTCAGAGGGCGATCAAAAAGGCCAAAGAGGATGTAATAGAGGTTATTCAAAAAGCTCATAATATGGAATTGGAACCTACACCCGGTAACACATTGCGTCAGACTTTCGAGAATCAAGTAAACAGAATTTTAAACGACGCTCGTGACAAAACTGGTGGGTCTGCTAAGAAATCGTTGACTGAATACAATAATTTAAAGGCTATGGTAGTATCGGGTTCTAAAGGTTCCAACATTAACATTTCTCAGGTAAGTGTTACACTATATTAATTTAAGGACAGGGTGGGTATGCCTGTGTATAAAAACCCATATGTTTAGACTATATGGTATTTGTAAATCTAAAAATTGTTAAATTCATTATTTTCATTAAAGATCGATCATTTAAATTAACCCCATTTTATTCTCAGTTTCAAACAAATAAAATAAAAATAGTAAGACAACCTAAGTTAAACCTCTACCTACGATATGGTTCATGCCATCGATAAATTATGTAAGATAAATCGTTTACATGCACGGCACTGGTAACACGTTTTAGTTCCTCAGCATACTATTTGGAGCCACCATCGCACATTACACAATTGGCTCGACAGTTAAAGGCAGCAGAGAAGAAGAAAATAAAAAGAAGAGTGTCTAGTTTTCCCGCGGTTCATTCAAATGTACTTTATTATTTATTTACATTTTTTCGGAGTTCATTACTCAAAAAAAAACTAATATCAAATTAAAATATTGTATTTAACATAAATATTAGTTTTTTATAGTAATAAAACTCCAAAAAATATAAATAAAGAAATATTTATACTAAAATACTTGAAACACAGGTATAGTTTAATCATTTAATACAAGGTGCATTTAAACATTTATTACATACATAAACATGTACTCTATATTACATAATAATTGTAAGTGAAATTAATAGTCTCCTCTCATTCTTTGAAAATGGACCAATTTTCGATGCAGGTGTTAGGTGTTTTCTCAGGGTGTTTTCTATAAAAAAAAAGTGTACATACCTTATTGAACAATTTCTCTTATAAAAATGTTGCCAATTCTTATGAGTACAAGTTAATTTTAATTAGTTTATAAACAAAAATTATTTCTCATAGTGCAATAGTTAATTTGAATTTTATTTTAACTGTAAAACAAATCTGTTCTAGTTGATCTAACAAATTAGAGTTTAAACATTACTTTTCATTTTTGACAGACAACAAAAGGATATCCTTTAAATTCTGTAATAATCATTAAAGTTCGCAAGCCCTCTCACCAAGGCAAGGTTTCAATCTAAGAGGAGGAAAGAGTGAAACTTATTGACTATTAAATATATTGAAATTTATAAAAATACTAGTTAATTTAACAATCAAATTATTTAGTATAGGTTTACTGCAATTTGGAAAAATGTAGCTTAATTGATTAATCTCTTTTACAAACAAAATTGTTATAAATAAAAAATTAAGAATTTGTTAGTACTTACCAACTTTAGCCAGTAAATGAAGAGCAGCAACTCCGAGGTTTAAAAAATCTTCTTTCGAGAATTTGATTTTTGTTTACTGTTGCCCGCATCCCACCACGAGGAGGTAAAGTAGTGGACTAACACTGAGGATGCTTTTTTATTTTATTTTTTCTGAAAAAAGCATTTACAATTAGTCGTTTACGTTTTATGTCAATTTTGCTAAAAGACTGGCAAAAAATGATCTTCACAAAGATAGCAAGTTTTATTATCAAAAGTAAAATTTAAATTCTTAAACCAGTTCTCTCAAATTTTAACATCAGAGGGAAAATGAAAAAAGGTTTTATTTGAATAACCAGTTTGCTGAATATTAGAATACCTATTTAAACAATTAGGAGCTGAACAAGAATACTTAGTTTTACCCTTCCATGTTTTACCTGGGTCAGACATGTTTTGATATTGTTACAAATATATTAAAAAAAGAATTGAAAATAGATTCAAAATGAAATTACCTATATTTCGTGTTAAGGCTAAGAAAACAATGATAAAGTCCTTAAACAAATCTAACACCTAATATGGAATTAAATTGTTAATACTTACTAATTACATCAAATCTTCTTCTTAACCTAAAAATAACTTTTATTTACTTATATTTGTTGTAATTTGGCCATTTCGCCTTCCGCCGCCATTCCGTTTTTCATTTTTACAAGGTTGTCAAACCTCTTTTTAAAATATCCCATCAATAGTATGCCATTGTATGGATGGTATCGAGTTTGACAAAAAAATAACAATGTGTTTGAAATAATTCTAATCTCATGAAAGTTTATGGAAACTGGCAACATCGCTTTCATCTTATTGTGATGGTGGCTCCAAGTAGTATGCTGAGGAACTAAACACCTAAACACTTGTTACCAGTGCCGTGCATTTAAACGATTTATCTTGTTTATTAATTTATCTATGGTTCATGCAGTCTAAAGAAATATTTTATATTTTCCGAAATCAACCGATTACAAAATAATTTTTGGTGCTATTTTGGACAAAAAAATGGCTTGTATATTAGCTCATTTTTCCTCAGTAATGATAAAGAGGTGCTCTTTTTAACTATTGTCTACTAAATACAATGTTTTAAAAATAAAAAAAATCCTTTATTTACAACCATATATGTAATGTTGTCATTACTAACGTTATTAAAGGTTGGGAAGTGTCACATTACACACCTCTACTTCCCGCCCTCATTTCATCTATTCTAGTTGAATGTTTTTTATATTAAAAAAAAAATAACACATTTTTTTGACAAATTTTATAATACCTATTTAATGGCAAACAATAAAAAACAACAATGAACTAAAATACAACAAAATACTTATTGATATTTATTATTCGCGAATTTAATATGTGGCTTTATCTGACATTTATTTATATTGGTGACAGTTGTTTACCCCGTAATCACAGTAACAATATATTTTCTTGATTATTCTGAGAAAACCGCGCGCTTGGTAATTTGTCGTTAAATGTAATATTTTAGGTATGTTCAGAACGAAACAGAGATTTATTAACTTTGATCGAAATATGATGGTTGTAAATAAAATAGTATACAAACCTCGGTAGGAAGTTTCATTCCTGTCTCGAGATCATAGCTAACCTCGACGCTTCGCGTCTCGGTGATCTAACTAATCTCACGACAGGAATGAAACTCTTCCCACCTCGGTGTGTAATATACTATTATTGTCCAAACTTGGTATTATTTTATTATTTCATGCACTTTTTTTTAATTAAAATTAGCAAGGTGCTTTAATAATATCGATAATAATTGTCCATCTAATAAAGTATTGGAGAAAACGAACTTGCTAAATACCCATTTTGTTTATTAATTAGAACTTTTTATTAGATTGTAATTTGAAAACCTTTTATTTTAAATATGCTGCATTAGTGTGGTGTAATTTATATGCCAAATACAAAAACCATTATGTCATTGAGTTTGACGTTTTTAAATACATGGTGGCCAATAAATTGCTAGGAATAAACAAGATAAATCAATACCAAGGTAATAATATATGTAGACTTTTGGAAAAAAAAAAAAAAAAGAATATTGACACCTCATAGACCAAATAAATAATGTAACCTACAAAATGTAAATTTAACAGTAGAGTGAAAAAACTAATATAATTAAACTAAAAACATCTTGTATGTGATATATTTTTTATCATGATTATTTTGAGGCATTAAATTTAGGTTGCTGGTTACATCCTTTGTTCTACTAATGTATTTTGACCTTGTGCATCCTAAATGAGGGTTAAACCCATTTTCATAATTTTGAGGATTACGCCATTTGGCTAATGATGTGTCGATTACACATCAGAGACAACCAGAGATGGTGATTGACATTTAGATACAATAGCTATCTGAGTCAAATGTCATTTTATCTTCGTCGTGTACATTATTTCCTTATAACATCTCATCCTCTGCAAGTTGTGAGATGGAGCTGGATGTCGCTGGTAATATTCCAGCAGTGTTGCCGTTATTAACTTTTATCCAATTTATTTTGTTTACAAAATCTTTTTATACAAAACTATTAATTACTTGTATTATTGTGATTATAAATTCTTTGTAACTTTTAGATATAATAAAAGATGTGTGTTAAGAAATATGTACCATTTTTGTATGTAACAATAAATTGTAATTGTCAGTTGTAATTTGTAGATTATATTATTAAACTAAACTAAAACGGTCAAAAATAGTTCTCCTAGCTAACTATTGAATGCAAGAAAGCTATTAGCACTAGAAGAAAATAAGTTTTCTTGCCAGCACAGTATTCGGCATCTGATTAGTATTGCCATTTTCTGTTTGTCATTTTAGTTATATGCTTTCTGCAAAAATTTTCTTTGAACTTGGTAGTGTTTGTTTTATTTATATTCATTTTTGGTTGGTTTTTATTCATTTATTATTAGTTTTTAAATTTTGTTTAGTTTAGTGGTTGCATATAATTTTAAATTTGTTTACAAACCTGAAACAACAATGCTGATATTGTATTTAATTTGTGGGTGCACTATTTTCCCACAAATACTGTAAAGTTGCTCCTACAAATAAATTGAAAATAAACATTTAAAATATTTTTTAATTGTTGTAAATATTAGATTTCCGTTTGATATATTTCTTTTTAATTATTTCAATAGTTCACATATCTCTCTAGAGGAGGTTAATCAAGTACATGCTGTGTATACAGATTTTAAAAAGGCCTTTGATATTGTTAACCATAAAGTTTTAATTAATAAGATGCAGAGTTTGAGAATTCAGGGAGAACTGCTTGAATGGCTATCTTCATACCTTACTGAAAATATACAGATAGTACGTATTCAGGGCTTCCAATCAATAGGAATTAAATTATCATTAGATGTATTCCAAGGTTTACACTTGTGTCCTGTTCTATTTAATTTATATGTGAATGCTATATTGCACCCTGTTTTGTCTTTGCCCTATTCCTAATGTTTGCAGATGACTTAAAATTATATATGAGAATAAAGAACGAATCTGATTACATAAAACTGCAAGCTGATTTAGATCGTCTCAGCAACTGGAGTGAAATCAATGTAATGGAACTTAATGTTAAAAAGTGCCGTCAAATGGTCTTTAGTTCTAACAGAAGTCCCGCAGAACAAATAATCTACAATATTAATGGTTGTCATTTGGAATCGGTATCTCAAGTTAAAGATTTGGGTGTAGTCCTTGATTCCAACTTATCTTACATACCCCATATATCAATGACAGTCTCAAAATTACTTCAAACGCTGTGTTAAAGATTTTTAGAGGTATCGCCCATTAAAATAATGTTTTGTTCACTTGTGAGGCCCAATTTATATTATTTTAATATGTGTGGTCCCCCCACTACAATGTTCATATTCAAGCATATTAATTACTCAAATATTGAGAGTTTCCTTAATATTGCCACTCTTCAGATCAGATGCATGCACAATGATCTTACCACATTTTACAATCTACTGCACTGATATAGCTTTAGTCCAGAGCTATTGGGAAAATCACTATTCATGTTCCTTCTAGACAAACAAGGCTTATTCTGCCTTTCAATATTAGACAGCATTGGGCTAACTACGGACATAATTCTTTTCTAGACAATACAGGGTGTTTCCGAACTTGGCGTCCAAATTTGTAGGGGTGGTAGTTCGCATAATTTGAGACCGATTCGCAATTTCATTTTTCCAAAATATTTAAAATAAAAATAATTATAAATTATAAACAGGTACGGTCCTGCACAGCGATGGGATCGCCTTGACTCGCGCGCGCTACTCTTAGAATCAACAAATTTGAAAATCGCATCTGTTTTTGAGGACTATTGCGCTACGCGCTCAGGGTAGGACCTGCTCTTTGATTTTTTTTTTAATGGCTCTATTTTGTTTATTATAATTTTTTTAGAAAAATGAATTCTGCCAATCGCTCTCAAATTGTGCGAACTACCACCCCTACAAATTTGGACACCAAGTTCGGAAACACCCTATATACATGCACTAAAATGGATACCCTGTCCTTATGCATTATTACAGTACAGTTTTTCATTAAAAAAAAATATATAAATAATATTCAATTTTCAGGTTATTGCCTGTGTAGGTCAACAGAACGTTGAAGGTAAACGTATTCCATTTGGCTTCAGAAAACGTACATTGCCACATTTCATCAAGGACGATTACGGTCCTGAGTCTAGAGGTTTTGTTGAAAATTCGTATCTAGCTGGTCTGACACCATCTGAGTTTTATTTTCACGCCATGGGAGGTCGTGAAGGTCTTATCGATACTGCTGTAAAAACTGCCGAAACTGGATACATTCAGCGTCGTTTAATAAAGGCTATGGAGAGTGTTATGGTACATTATGATGGTACTGTAAGGAATTCAGTAGGTCAACTCATTCAGTTGAGATATGGAGAGGATGGTCTTTGTGGAGAAATGGTAGAATTTCAGACCTTATCCACTGTCAAGTTGAGTAACAAAGCTTTTGAAAGAAAGTTTAGATTTGATCCCAGCAATGAACGTTATCTCCGAAGGGTGTTTAATGAAGAAGTTATCAAACAACTTATGGGATCTGGAGAAGTAATCTCCGAACTTGAAAGAGAATGGGAACAATTGCAAAAAGATCGTGAGGCCTTGAGACAAATCTTCCCTAGTGGTGAATCCAAAGTCGTACTACCTTGCAATTTACAAAGGATGATTTGGAATGTACAAAAAATTTTCCATATTAATAAACGCTCACCAACAGACTTATCACCCCTTAGAGTAATACAGGGTGTGCGAACACTTTTAAAGAAATGCATTATTGTAGCAGGAGAGGATAGGTTATCAAAGCAAGCTAACGAAAATGCTACACTTCTATTCCAATGTTTAGTACGTTCAACTTTATGCACAAAATGTGTGTCTGAAGAATTCAGATTGAGCACTGAAGCTTTTGAATGGTTGATTGGAGAAATTGAAACTAGGTTTCAACAAGCACAAGCAAATCCTGGAGAAATGGTTGGCGCTATTGCTGCACAATCTTTGGGAGAACCTGCTACGCAAATGACACTTAATACTTTCCATTTTGCTGGAGTATCTTCCAAGAACGTAACTCTTGGTGTACCAAGATTGAAAGAAATTATCAATATATCAAAGAAGCCTAAGGCCCCCTCTTTAACTGTATTTTTGACTGGTGCTGCTGCTAGGGATGCTGAGAAAGCCAAGAATGTCTTGTGCAGGTTAGTAGTATGGTGTTCAGTAAAATTGTAACCAACATTTTATTATTTAATAAGTTTAGGCGTTTCAAACAAATTGTAATATATCAAAAAATAAATAGTTAATGATAAACCATTTTATAGAGTTTATTCAAATTGAGAGTGTTCCATTCTCAAAACATAGTCAAATCGGTATGCACAAATGTCAATGTAATCTTTATTTATTATAAACCAAATCATAAGGTATGAGTAGAAGCCATGCAGGATTTTGTATGTTTCAATTTATCGTCCGTTTTCTTGTGACCTGTCTTTAGTTCTGGACATGAACATGTTTATTGGTGACGTAAACAAATGTCTGGAATGTGTAAGAGGGGCCATATATTGAAAAAAACATTCCTTTCATTATAAAAATAATGCAAATAATGTTTAAAATACATGATGATTAACACTATAATCATGTTTATGGTAAATTGCAATAATTAAATTTTAGGAACCTACTTTATTTGAATGTTTTTTATAGACTTCACTATTAAACTTGTAATATATACATAATTTGCTTCACATTGACATCATAGCTGGGTCGTTTTCTAGCTGAAGATCAAGTTGCCATGTGTCTGCATGGCAAAAAAGCAATTAGAAGAATCAATTGATAACTTGCAAGTTCGTTAATTAGTTGTTTGGTTTTTGTTCATGAGAGTCTGCAGAAAATGCATAAAGTTAATTCCCGGTAAATTACTATTATTTACTAACTTTAAAGATAAATCGGGAGTTACCCAGCTGTAGCAACCCTTCTGCAATGTAGCATCATTTTTCGAAAGTGGAATATAACTTAATAAAAAACTTAAAAAACATTTTAAATCAGGCAGTAAACTTTTATGGAAAATTAATGAAAGTTATCAATTCTACACAAGAATAACTCATTTAGTTTGACAGAATTGAAACTTATCTAAAGTTAAAAAAAAAACTATAGTAGCCGAGATACAAAAATATGAACTGTGATGGATTTAATTTTTTTACCATGTTCTTACCTTAGAATGTATATGAAATATATTCGTTCAGTTGAACACAATAGCATACTTTTTCCTTTTGTAGTCTGTGCTAATATTCATTTGGGTGTAAAAAAATACTTTATACAATGCACTAAGTGCTGCCATAACAGCTGATTGGTCTAAATGTATTGGCCACGTGATAAAATAAGAATACAAACTTTGGGATTTAAATAAAAAAAAAATAGAAATATTGATAGAACCTATTTTAATTATCATTGGTAAGGATAATAGTGATTCTAAAGATTCACTAAACTTTAGATGACTTCTTCGATACCGACAGTGAACAATAGCCAAACAATTTTAACTACTTATTTTGTTATTTTAATTATTCCTAGTAGAATGTAATCTGTTTTATTTTGATTTATTGCTTATATGAACATATTATCCTGATGTGGATATTTTATTACAACACAGTTAAAATATAGATAAATCAGTTACAGTGTTTTATTACCTAATTTCTTAATGTATTTTTTAGGCTGGAACACACAACTCTACGTAAAGTAACTGCAAACACCGCAATTTATTATGATCCTGACCCGCAAAACACAGTTATTCCTGAAGATCAAGAGTTTGTAAACGTCTATTATGAAATGCCTGACTTTGATCCAACTCGTATTTCACCTTGGTTACTACGTATTGAATTAGATAGAAAGAGAATGACAGATAAGAAACTTACCATGGAACAAATAGCAGAAAAAATTAACGCTGGTTTTGGTGATGATTTGAATTGTATCTTCAATGATGATAATGCAGAAAAGTTAGTACTACGTATCAGAATTATGAACAGTGATGACGGAAAGTTTGGAGAAGGTAATATAATTATAAATAATTAGGACAATTTTACAGCTAAAATGTACTTTAGGTGCTGATGAGGATGTGGATAAAATGGACGACGATATGTTCCTTAGATGTATTGAAGCAAACATGCTTAGTGACATGACTTTGCAGGGTATAGAAGCCATTTCCAAAGTGTACATGCATTTACCCCAAACGGACTCTAAAAAAAGGATTGTCATTACTGATACTGGAGAATTCAAAGCCATTGCTGAATGGTTACTTGAAACTGATGGTACAAGTATGATGAAAGTATTATCAGAAAGAGATGTGGATCCAGTCAGAACCTTCTCTAATGACATATGTGAAATATTTTCGGTAATATTCTAAAAGTTAAAAAAGTAAATATTAGTAAATTTAAAAAATTTCAGGTATTGGGAATTGAAGCTGTGCGAAAATCCGTTGAAAAAGAAATGAACGCTGTACTTCAATTCTACGGTCTGTATGTAAACTACCGACATCTTGCTTTACTTTGTGATGTAATGACCGCTAAAGGTCACTTGATGGCTATCACACGTCACGGTATAAACAGACAAGATACAGGAGCTTTGATGAGATGTTCTTTTGAAGAAACTGTTGACGTACTCATGGATGCTGCAAGTCATGCTGAAGTAGATCCTATGAGAGGTGTATCTGAGAATATTATCATGGGTCAGTTGCCTAGAATGGGAACCGGTTGCTTTGATCTTTTGTTAGATGCCGAGAAATGTAAAATGGGCATCCCCATTCCACAAGCGCATAGTTCAGATCTAATGGCGTCTGGTATGTTCTTTGGATCAGCTGCTACCCCTAGCAGCATGAGCCCCGGATGCGCTATGACTCCATGGGCTGCAGCAAATACCCCATATGTTGGCAGTGCTTGGTCTCCACAAAGTAAGTTGAAAAAAACGCCTATTTTAAATGTATTTAAAATTAATATTATTTTCAGATTTAATGGGCAGTGGTATGACCCCAGGAGGAGCGGCATTTTCACCTTCTGCAGCTTCAGATGCTTCTGGAATGTCACCAGGTTATGGCGCCTGGTCTCCAACACCACAATCACCAGCTATGTCTCCCTATATGGGTTCACCTCACGGACAATCTCCATCTTACAGTCCATCTAGTCCCGCTTTTCTACCTACTTCCCCATCTATGACACCTACATCGCCTAGATATTCGCCAAGTTCCCCTGGATATTCACCTACAAGTCCTAATTACAGCCCCACAAGTCCTAGCTACTCTCCTACCTCCCCTAGTTATTCACCAACATCTCCAAATTACAGCCCTACTTCTCCTAGCTACTCTCCTACATCTCCTAGTTACAGTCCAACTTCGCCTAGTTATTCACCGACATCGCCAAGTTACAGTCCAACATCTCCTAGCTATTCTCCTACATCTCCTAGTTACAGTCCAACTTCGCCTAGTTATTCACCGACATCGCCAAGTTACAGTCCTACATCTCCCAGTTATTCTCCCACTTCTCCAAGTTACAGCCCCACTTCACCAAGTTATTCACCAACTTCTCCAAGTTACAGTCCCACTTCTCCAAGTTATAGTCCAACTTCGCCAAGTTATTCTCCTTCATCGCCAAGGTACACCCCAGCTTCCCCAAGTTACTCTCCGACATCTCCGAGTTATTCTCCTTCCTCGCCTCAATATTCTCCAGCTTCCCCAAGTTATTCTCCATCATCTCCAAAATATTCACCAACTTCGCCGAATTATTCGCCTACTTCTCCGTCGTTCTCTGGTGGCAGCCCACAGTATTCTCCAACGTCACCAAGCTATTCACCAACTTCGCCCAGTTACTCTCCATCGAGTCCACAGCACACTCCGGCTGGTAGTTCACGATATTCTCCATCGTCTCCCAATTATTCACCTAGTTCCCCAAGTTATTCACCAACTTCACCTCAATATTCCCCTCACAGTACCAAATATTCACCTACTTCACCTACTTACACTCCTACAAGTCCGAGTTATTCACCTGCCTCACCTGCATATTCTCCTCAACCGCCTAGGTATTCACCTTCTTCACCTAGCTATTCACCTACTAGTCCCAATCAGGATAATGATTAGACTAGTTGTGTTTAATGTGTAAGTTATAATACTATCCTATATTTGATCATTCGCAGAAATGTTTTGCTATAATCGGCCATGAAATCCGTAAACATTGACGTGCGATTTAGAAATAAATCGAAGTTAAAGAACACAGTAGTATATTTAATATAACAAAAATATTAAATTAATTTTTATCCCAAAACATTTATGCGAAATAAGTCTCTTAATGTTCAGGTACACTTAATCTCACTATAATGAAAATTTGGTGATTTTTGTAAAATATGTTTTAAAAAAAAAAGAAAAAATATAATTTTTGAGTTATCAGTTCATGTAGCTGATGGGTTATTTTCAAGATAAATAAGTTTTTGTATTGACCCTGTTAGTTTCCTGTTTAAAGTATTAGTGGCAACAGGTTCAAAGAATTTGTAAAAAGTTAGTAATCGTTTTTTGTAGTTTAATATATCTTTAAGATTTTTTTTGGGTAATTTATTACTTTTTACTTTTAATAGGTCTTTTCCTTTGCATCGAAAGTGTAGCACTGATCTACACCACTTCTGAAAATATCGTTCCATTTATACAAATTGTATGGATGGAACGATATTTTCAGAAGTGGTGTAGCTCATTGCTACACTTTCAATGCAAAGGAAAAGACCTATTATTACCTATTTTATCAATCAGAAAGAGGCGTTTTCTGAATGACTGAATGCTGTATGTATTTGTATAATGCTACAGTACAAAGAAAAGTTGTATAGGTATGAAAGTATTTTTTATTATATGTATATGTTAATTCTTTAATAAATTTTTACAAAAAAACAAGTTATTTTATTTCAGTTATTTTTCCTATGGTGGCTAAGATGTAACTTAAATTTTATTTTCGTATTTAGGGACCTAAAAAGTTTAGATTACCCACAACATTGCGAAAGTTGACAAAGATATGACCATATCAATTTAAAAATCCTTCGTATTAACTCGTTTCCATTCGATCAGTTTCGGACGCAAAAGTTGTTTCATTATGCGAAGTTGCCGATGTATCTAGGTTTATTGATGCAACTGGACTTTCAAGTCGAATGAAAAATGTACATATGGGTCATTCTCAGTTGAGACGTAAATCGCTTATTGATAAAACGCGGCACGACAAAAATTTTGAAATTGAAATCAAATTTTACAATGGTTCGATCAAAACAATCATTTCCAACGTGCCTGCAAGACGGTCAGTCAATTTATTGATTTTATCTCGTTTTATAAGATGCCAGGGGAGATATTCATCCAGGGGAGAGACTTAATGTACAAAGTAGAATACTTTGTGATTAGAGAAAGGATTTTAACATTATTTTATGAAAGAAAACAACATTTTATTGAAGTATTAACTTTATTCAGTCATTTTATAATTTTATTTATCAATAATTAATTGATAATAATTAGTATTTAAAGTTTTCATATCTCCCCTGGATATCGTGTCTTTCCCCTGGCCCTTACAAGACAGGGGAGATATAAACAGGGGAGATACTTTTAAGTAACAAAAATAGAAATAATGACAAATGTATTTATTGTATGAAATTAACCAAGAAAAGTTAGAATCTATTAACAACGAGAAGTAAATATACGAATGAATTAAATTTTTTAGATGAATATTTTAAAAATAAAACTTACCAGGGGAGAGACTCCGTTCACTCGTTGTCAACTGTATGCACAGAGTGCCAGTAACGAAATAAATGACTAAATGACTGCGCACCTAGTTCGAGTGGCTCTGATTACAAACTATACACTCAACAACGTTCGCTCAAGGTCTTCAATACCCGCAAGTCAGTAAACAAATGCCGATTTTACACAAAAATAAGCGTGCCAGGGGACGAGACGCAAAATACGGGGGACAAACGTAAACGTAATTTTTTTTAAGAAAAAAAAAATATCACGCAATTTTACTTGCTTGATTACGATAATTTATTTAAATTATTTTGTTGAAATTTATAATTTAAATAAGTTATTTGATTTTCAAGTACTTAAAATTACAAATAAATAAACAGAATCGGCCCGGGGACAAGCCAGGGGAGAGATGTTTTCCGACTTTGAGGTGAAATTGTGACTAAATTAAATAAAATTAAGAAATGAATTTGAGTGACCAATTATATGAGCACGAGTTTTAAGAGAAAATAACATTCTTTTTAATAAAAAATTTTAAAAAAGGTGATTTTTTGTTATGGACGTCGAATTTACGGCTTAACTGAGAATGACCCATATATACAATACATTTTTCAGAGATTAGGGACATAAAGATTGGAAACGCAATGACCGCAGCAACAATGGCATCATCTAGCATCTCATATGTTAACTACAGGTCTACGTCGTTTGTAGAGAGACCAGTGTTGCCAAATATTTTTTTTGAGAGATTGTACAAGTATAGTAGAAAAATGGTATTTCGATAAAAAAAATGTACAATAAATACATGCATAGCATAATATAACTTAAATGGAATGATTATAAAAAAAAAAAACTAAAGAAAATACATGAAACTTTAAATTAACACATTTAAAGTAATCAATGACTGTCACTTGAAAGTGATTGAATTTAAATTTTGCATGCAAGCTTTTCTTATGCCGTGATAGAACGAAAATGACTACCTGTAGAAATTACGAACGGCCTATGAATCTTTGCAAGTAGTTTTTGAGTTTTATTGTTTCATGTTCTGAAGTTGTTGCAGATATTTAAATATTTTTACGTACGATCAAGGTCTGTGGTATGATTTAACTGATACAATCGTACAGAGAGTTAAAAAATCGTATAAATCCAATTTAAATCATACGGTTGACAACACTGAGACAGACAGTAGACGTGGACAGCAGTAGACAGTTTGTAAATATAAATGTCAGTTAATTTTATGTATATCGAAGAATCCTGAATTTAAATTTTAAAATTTGAATTCATGATTATGTTATCCTCTAGATGAACTAAGCGAAATAGTTGTGGCGGTTTTTGTGTGAAATTTTAGGACAATAATTATATTTTGAGATATTACAATAAGTCGGGGAACGTATTACATTAGTAACACATGCCACATGAACAAATTTAACAACCCCAATGTGGCGTTCTTTAATTAACCAAAGTACGTAAGATCTATTCATGTAATTAACTTTTGTCACAAAGTAGGTATTTGTGTTATTTATTTTTTTAGAACAAGAAAATGGCTTCAAAACGTTAAAAAGATTTGATATAGGACGAAAAATATCTGAATTCCCATTATTGAATTTGCACTCAACATTTTTAAATCATTGGCCATTCGTTTGAAAAATAAAAACAAAAATGCAATGTTACAAATAACAATCAAAAATTAAAAAAATATTTGTCATGAATATAGATTTACAATAATTAATCGATAATAGACTATAAGTGTAGTATTCTTTTTAATAAATAATTTAGCGTAATTACATTGTTTAAGGTTTATTTAAAAGAACATGAGAATGCAGTCGATATTTATAATATAACCTTTATTATCAGGTTTTTAAATTTCCCGCTGCGTTGTTTGATATCGATGAAAGCCCCACATAGTGGGTGAGATAACTGCGATAAAGCTGGTCGTTGTTAAGCATTGGCTTCTTATGGACTGTAACCTACCGCACCCAGGTACCTTAATAATTTATTAATTTCATTTATTAAATACAATATTACATTCTTATTAAATATCAAAATGCTTCATTTAACGAAAAATCTCCCAGATAATTAAATCTTATTTACGACACCTAATAAATAATATCTATAACCACGTCCATAAAAGATGCACGTGGCCGAATTCTCAGACAAAGAAAACACCATAAGCCGTATTTCTGTTTACGAAGTAATTATCGTTGAAATACTTATCTCGCTTATTTTTTTAGTTTCGATGTTCAGACCGATATCGACAATATTTCGATACACAAAACTTTCAAGGCACATAATAAATAACCCACCCCCTTTTGCACCTACATTCGTATTTTCTATGAGAAGTAAAACGATAGGGACGTCACAGAAACGATTAAACTGTGTATAAAAAGTCTGACAACAAGGAGCTCATATTCATTCAATTTTAATCATTTGATGTACGTGCATTCATTTTCAATTATTTGATGTGCAAACATTCATTTATTATTTGTATCCAGTTATATTTCAAGCTCAGTAATCAGTACCTTTCCTAAAACGCTCTTCCTAAACGACGTCTATCCTACAATACCTCCTATCCCCAAAGGTGTCAACGTCTCGACGCCCAACGTCATGCCGTCCTAGTCCCTACGTCTCGAACGCTGTCACATTCCTCACCATATAAGTAATTCCTACCGTACATTCATTTCGACACTCAACGTCCCACGCCTTATTTCCGACGCTTGCCGTCCATAAATATTTCCTTCATATCACGTCCCGCACCACCTACATAATTCCACCGTATATCTGTCCCAATACAGTACCATATTAAATACCTTCCTTTCCACCACGACGCTAGCCGTCTCGACGCGCCTCGACGCTCAATGCTGCGACGTACCTAAATCGACGCCTTCCACGACGCTAGATGAAATTAGTACATAATCTAATGTCTGTATTTTCAGTGGTGAGTCAAAAGATTTGGTATCTTTCTTTGAGATACCACCCCGGTTTTGTTTAAGGGCAGGCTTGACATTTGCTGTAAAATATTATCAATAAACCACATGGCCTTCAGGTCATACACCCCGAAAGAAAGAATAGACATCTGTTTTGGATGGGTGAAATTTTGAGTATTTTAATAGAAATAATAATTATATTAAGTTATTTCAATAGAAATTATAATCAATATTAAAATACATACAGGGTTGTATTAAGTCATATTAATAGAAATTATAAAGATCAATATTTTGGAAATATACAGGGTTGTGCTATCTTGGATAAATTGTACAAACCAAGATGGTAAAATTTAATAGTAATTTAACCAACTGGCGAATACGCTGTTCGTTAGCTCAAGGGGAAACACCTATACGCTAAGCAGCCCATTCTACAAGGTTTGAAACAAAGTATATGTGAAATCAACATAGTAAAAGGTAATCAACTGGCGAATTGGCGCTGTTTATTACTTCCGGTGTTCATCACCTCTATACTCATCGTAATATTTACCTAAGAGGGTGCAACCTGTATATATCTACAATAGAATCAAATCAACATCAACTCAATAGTTAATCAACTGGCGAATTGGCGCTGTTCGTTAACTCTGTTGGTCATCAACCTAAATCAGCATATAAACAACAACACTATAGTTAATCAACTGGCGAATTGACGCTGTTTGTTAACTCTGTTGGTCATCAACCGAAATAAAATATATATTGATAGCAAATGAATATGGTCTGCGTTTGAACGGGACTCAAGTGAGATCTCAGTAAATAGTAACAATTGTAATATACTTTGTTAATTATTGCATCACATTTAAAGTATGACAAATATAAAAGAGTTTAAATATGAATTTGTATGTTTTATTTATCAATTTGCACCAAACTTTGCATCGAATTCTGGTTTACCTTAATTAACATTATCACAACGTGGGTACATAAAATATCAATTAATTAACTAGACGATCACTTCTACTACTAGAGGAAAAGGGCCAAATTACAGTAAGTATAGAATTTAAAGTAAAACTTGTGAGGTAAATAAAAACACATTTGAGAGTAAAATAAAGAACAAAATCTAAAAGAAGAGGGGGCCTGGGGCAGGCCGTCACAGGGCGTTTCCTATCTTTATCTGCCTTATCTCTGACATTTTTTACATTAGACATATTCTAAGGAACACAGCAGGGTCATCGTTCATATAATAAGTAGTTGGGTCAC